ACTGAGAGTTACTGCGGGAGGTCTTAGAATATCGGACTGGAGGCGGTATTTCAGGTGGCGGAACATCTGGCTGCGGCACCTGAAAAACCAATCAAGGAAAACTGAGCTAGATTTTCGGCAATACAATCGATCCAAGTGGGTGCCAAAAACAAAATGGTACACAGTTTACATCAAGCAGCCGGAGCACCCTGCAATTCATTTAAAGGAAAACAAAGCCAACCTCGAGCTAAATCGACTCAATCATCTGATTTGGCTGATTTCTGAATCAGGGAGTTCCACATTGTCTGTACGCTCGGAAACGACAGATAAAAAAGTTGAGGTCAAATTTTCGGAATTTTCTTTTCACAAAGAGGAAAGAAGCACGTTTTAGTTTCGGGGGTTTCCAGGCTGAAACGTACTTTAGGCTTAAGGTAAATCCTGTGAAAACTTCCGCAAGCTGATAATCAATAAATTTTCGTGGCGGCTGCAGTACCTGCAGGCAGCACCGGGGGTTTTTCTGAGTCTACGGCCGCTGAAAAAGAGGCTGAATAAGAGATCTGTACGAAAAGTGTAAAGGCTGAGTTTGAGTTATGGAATTAGGACAACCCTCGGTGAGATTGGTTTTGGACATTGTGTATTGTAGTATGAGCGTATTGACGGGAATTCGCTGACCGCCCCTAACTTCTTCTACCTCTATCCAGTTAACTAAGCGGAATGGCATTCTGACATGCATATTCTGACTGCATATTCAACGTCAGTTGATGTCAGCCTTAAATTACACTGGTCGTCGTTTAAGACTGCTGTACCCCATCTCCTAGAGATATCCTATTGATCAGAGCGGCGCAAGATCATTCGAACTCGGAGACCATTAAGTCACGGTTTCCCCCGAAAACGAATGACGATGGTCAATAGCGAGGGGAAGAAATTACTAGATGGTTCGTCATGGAGGTCATCAGTGGCTCGTACTGACTATTTGTTATAACTTTCTCCTGTACGACCCCGGCTGACAGTCCATGATGCTGCAGATCAGCTGCCTTTTGATTGGTTCATATCTGCGAACGCGTTTCAAAACCCACATAAGGATGCGAAATATCCTTTTTCCTATTTGCACTACACACCGCTTCTCTTCGATGGGCTTAACCCTCACAGCTGATTGCGCAACCACCTTAATAGCTTACAACTGGCTTAAACCTGCGGGAACAGTAGTGGAAGACTATCAACTAATCATTCAGCAATAACGCCCTTCCGGTTCCTGGCTGCCATGCCGTCCGAAGGAGGTACGGGGTCCCAAATATTGGCCAAAGCTAGACAGCAGCAGTGGAAATGCAGACGTTGAGTTCCGAACTCGAATCCTTCGGTCAGTAAGTTTGCGCTTCTATGCTGAGGGCTGTTACACTGAAGGGGAACCGGAAGTAAATGTTGACAGTCTGTAAGAGAAATATCCAATCAATTTTCTCAAAAGAGATCAAGCTAAGGAAAACCGGTTATAGCTTCCTAACAAAACTGACGTCGAATGACGTCAAAAAAGAATCACCAGTTACTTTGGCGCTGCGACTTTGGTTAAATGAAAACAATAACAGAACCGACACTATCGAGCAAATGACACCAGTTTGGATACATGGTTCTCACCTCATTTTCCTTGTCCTCCAGCGTATGTATGTTCAAACGGCTGCTATCTAAATATAACAAAGACAAATTTAGCTATATTCAGGACATCATGTCCCATGAGAAATAACGATTTATCGACAGGCAGTGAGACGAAAGAACTTGACTGTCTGTCTCGTTGAGCTTAAATCTCACATTTGCAAGTGCTCTTCAACAAAAGTGTTCGAGTCGAAAATTGGAACGAACGCGGTAAAATTCTTGAGGCAAGTGGTTAATCAAATAAATTATAGCTTAAAAACGCAACGGAACTTTTTTTATCTTATTGTTCATCACCTGAGAAGAGGCGGAATTGTAGCGTCTCCCTTATTCGAACTGCGTAAATGTGCTTTTAGCAGCTGCACTGCTTAAGATGAAACAAGCAGTTACCCGAGAATTTATCTATCTGCCTCTCAACACAGATTTGAGCAGCTGGTACGGTGTTATTATTCGAAAAATAGTCGTTCAGCTGTAACACCCTTTCGGTGCCTAGCTGTTATGCGACCCAAAGGAAGTATGAGGGCCAGGATACTGTCAGGTTGCCCAAGCCTGGACAGGGGAAGTCGAGATGCAGCGGTTGGGTTTGAACCACGGGCCTTCCGGTCAGTAAATTCGCGCCCTAAACACTCGAGCCAACTCTCCCCAGTGTTATTATTAGATTAGCTCTTAGTAAATATTATCAACTTATTTTTTAATAAACTTATGCTTTTATGCGGTAGATCACGTACAATTCTACGGTCCCTCTGGTCTCTGTCCATTTTTACCTGTTACAAAATATTTAGTGCGTCTTCCAAAAAGTCAGGAATCTGAATGAAATCTGAAGATCGAAACAGGACAACCGCATGTCATTCTACTGGTATTTGAGCCTAGTAGAGACTTAGCGAAGGCAATGGAGGTTGTTTGTTGAGGACTTCTCGTCCTGCTTTAGTTTTATTTTCCAAAGTAAATATTGGGGAACTTAGGCCAGTTAACAGATCCACTTGACCAAATCGGAGTGCATTGCAGCGAACGAGACTTGCCAATCAACTGCCTGGACTGCTCCGAAAGTTTCATTTTAAAAAGGCGGCTTTTCGCATGACTGAATAATGCAACCCCCTCTCTCTTAACGCAGAAGACTGCTTTTCTAGGCATCCCATTTGTGTTGTTCAGCTGCTGAAGTGACAGGATTGCTGAAAGCCAACTGCGCTGAACTCTTAGCGACTATACACTTGGAAGATTAAGTTGGTGTTGAAGGGATATTCGAGTGAATCCAACTTGAAACCCTGGTTTGTGACTTTATTCAACCTCACAGCTTGCGGTGACACGTTATCTAACGCACCGAGGTATCTGTTCTAGGCTTCTCTGAAAACAAATTGACAGTTAACTTTCGTTTTCGCACTACTAGGGGCTTACCAGGTAGGTGTTGTTCACACGAAGCTGATTTGCAATTGTAATTTAACATCTGTGTACGATTTTATGTTCATGTGGCAAAAAGGTTGACAGAAACCTGAGGATATGTCCACATGAAAAACCTCAAGAGGGGTGAAACCGGTGGTGTTTTCAGCAGTTTTATACGTGTTGTATCGAAAAAAAACCAAGTCAACTTAGTAATTCCGAATCGGTGCAATAAAAATTTCGATTCAGAATTTTTCACCACTGCGAATCAGCCAAGCTTATTCGACACTATATAGACGACCTTGAGGATACAAAAAAATATGGGGTGATTCAACCAAAATACAACACCTGTAAGTAGATTCAGAAATACGCTCCATTAAATTTGATCACGTAAGCCTCCAGGTTGATGAAATTTTGTGAAGTTGAATTGACATCACCAAGCACCGAGAGAAACAAATTATCCTTTGACTATGACATCTTGACGTTTGTCATCATACTGTTATGAATATGCACCACACAATTCACACCAAAAACTTCGCTTATTCCACTGAGCCTCACCGTTGCCGTAGGAAACCGCTCAAGAAGCCTGGCTTTAGTATTAAAACAAGCCTACTCATTACATATTAGTAGTCAGAGTTGATGTCGTCTAAGAATGAAAGGATGGGCGAACCCAGGAGGGTCATTCGGGTATGAAGCAAACAGAGCAGAACAGCAGTCTCAAATTAGGTGGGGGTGAACTTTCCCATCTGGGGCGTGGAGGAGGGATGGAGAGTTTAAAATAGTGGCACGTCTCTGAGTGTATAGGGTTTTAATGGATGTTTTAAAAATGAATTTCATGTACTTCCGAGAATGAAACGTGGTGACTTAATGGATATAAACAGCTTTAAAATAGCGCATACGGCAGTGGGAAGAAATTTTCGACAAAATATGACGTATTCATCACTGGCCACTGTCTATGGACGATGTTTGTGAGTTCGCTAAAGGTGGCACGATGTGAAAATTCTGACTAGTCTAAGAGAGATATTGGCCACCTCAGAACGGTAGAAAGCATCTCACTTCGTCGGAACAGGAAGCTTCATTCATCCCAATATCACGCACTGGATTCGGAACTACAGGAGGAAATTTCATGTAACTTTCAGAGAGGACCTTGTTTCTGCTACCTGCAAGTGGCACTAACTTCGCCTGATCTTTCTCAGCACCCAACAAAATGTCATCCATTTTCCATGTGAAAACTGCGACACGTAATTTCGTCCGTTTTCCTAATTTTCCAACTCTCTGCAACTTTTCAGTACCCTTATTAAAATTTGATCGTCCAAACACGTTTGAAATTCTGCTGTTTTATATTTTTATTATTTTGAGAGGAGATTGGTGGCTTCGTCCCTTAATTATCACCTCCGGCAAAACATTTATGATCTTAGTTGAGAGCCTTTGGCTGTGGGTGCATTTAATAACGGGGAAGCCATTCTTTGAAGTGACAGACACGCTGTATGGCGCCAATACTGTTCTACCCAGAATTCCGTACAGTTCGAATACGTTGGAGCATTAAAATTCTATCAAGTACAGCGCAAGTTACTTGGGCTGCGCACCAGTCAGTTTCAGGAGGCATTGGCGATTGTGACAAGGGAAGAATACGGGTAGGGATACTGTAATGTACTACACTGTACCATGTTGTATCATACTGTACTGTACAGTACGGTGCGGTACGGTACGATATACTGTGTCAAAATACGTTGCATACCATAGTGTTTTGCATTCTCGAACGTTCCGTTTGGAACACTGCTTACTGCTGTATTGCTTTGGTCCTCAATCTGGGAGCCAGCGACCAAAAAACAACCCGCTATGCCATCAAGCAAATCATCATAAACCTTGTCGTTGGAATGCATAACCAGGTAAATGGTTTGGTTGAACTTCAAGAAGATGAATGATGTCCAGGCCCATAACTGATGGTATGAATCAGGCAGAAGATTGTTATAGCCGCTGACTGGAGTATCCACAGTAAACTCACCGGCTGATCTATATTCGCCACGGTGGACATTCCCTGAAGGTCCGTAAGTGTTCCCAAAGTGGCCTAGCTTTCGCCAGCCTTGATTCATACCATGCGCCGTGCTGGAGAAATGCGCTCTTGGAGAGAGAATCCAGCTACTCTGCTCGCTCCGAATCGCATAGCCCGTTAGCGGAATCGTTAAAAAGTTCACATATTCACCCTCTCCATTTGTGCAGATGGGTTGCGGTGTTGTAAAAGGTTCGACTTCAACTAAGGATGAGCGTGAAGGTGGTGGTGGTAGGGAGTTCAGAGATCCGCTTGTCGGCGAACCTTCACCGAAATCCAGATGTGTTGGCTGGGGTAGTGGAGGGAGTTCAAAACCGTTAGCATAAGAGTTATCCGGTTTCGTCTTAGAGTGGTAGCAGAATTCCTGCGTCGGAACACACTGCGCCTTGACAGACTTTTCGGATAACACGCAGCTAGACGTAGTCGGTGAAGTCACCCCTATAATGGAGTCACAAAGTAAAATCATTTCACTCATAAGAAACTGAATTTCAGTTGTGCTTTGATAATTTTGCATTGCGTGTGCTTGGTTTTTAGCTGAAAAATGATATCAAACTACGTATTGGCCTGTTTAGAATTGGTGGAATATGCTTGTCTTATCTGGATATCTTCTTACTCAAGATGAAACCCTTGGCAGCAGAACAGGCCTACAGGGGATTCACTTATTGTCAGTCGTGTTAGTGGTCCCTATGTGGGGTTTGTACTATGTAAACCCTAATTCAGACGGTCGTGAAGAATGAAGATGTGAATGAAAAACGTTTTGAGGCAACCCTGGGTATAGGCCTATGTTTCGACGGTTCACTACAATCATACCGATCGACAACGAGCTTCTCGGACGCAGGGAGACGTATATTGCTCGTCTTCGTGGCATTTCAAGCTCGGTCAGTTAGCCTACAGCGCGTTAACTTGACTCACGCGTCAACTTGACTCACGCGTCAACTTTTATTATCTGACACATGGGAATAGTCTTTTCGGAACAGAGGCTAACAGGTGCTCGCACGTTACAACAATTTTGCAACAACATAGGCGAATTTTAGAGTATCTCATGCCGCTTCGCGGGAAATGCTGTATACTCAGTATTTGAGTCTCTATTTTGTTAATTGCCCGCCCAGTTAAAAATCGAATTATGGAACAGAGTTCGAATGTACCGGAGACCGTTGTGTTTGCCTGCTGTCCATTATATTCGTAGAAGTTATTCAGGTCGTCTTCCTTGGATCTGAGCAAGACCGACTGGTGCTGCGCCCATGGTATTAGGCATTCAGTTGAATCGCTTCTATGGTTCTGATATCTGTTTTCAATTACGTAGTGAGAGCAGAAAATGCCGGCACACCCATATCGTCCAGAAACACGAGCGAATGTTGTATGCAGTTCATGAAACTTACGCGTGCGCTGCACTATCCTTGAAAAGTGAGAGAATCTGAAGCTGAATTCTAAAAGTGAGACAGTCTGGTATAAATTGAATTTTCGACGCAGTATCGGGGATATCGCCGTGTTTTTCGTGTCAGACGAATGGTGTGTCCGGTAGACACTGTGTTAACCTCATTCCGTGTCAAGTCAACAAAGCGGTTGGTCTAAACATGATAACCACCTGCTGTGGTCTAGTAACCACCCACGCAAGAGGTCGGCTTTTACCCACAACCTTATTTGCATATCAGATGTGACCTCACAGTCCAGTGAACCGGGTGGTTTTGTATAACCCACTAAACACATCCTCTTTGGGGGCCGGATCAGTAAATCGAATAGGGCCGAAATTCCTTAGAGACTTCAAGCACAAGTTGTTGTCTCATGTTATCCAATTGCAGAGAAGTCAGCAGCTTTGGATCTTCTGTACACAACCCGGGTTACGCAAATGAATTTGACTTTAAGGACCTTCTCCCATATCAGTGTTGTGTTTGGAGACATGGCACCAAGAACAATGCCTATCTTTAACCTTCACAAGATTGTCTTTTGACTTACGTGACTGGGACTGTGGTTGATTTACCGACAAATTGTTCTCCCACAATTTCTCTGGGTTGACTGACTTATGATCGTTGGTTATCCCTTTGCTTAAAGCGGGCAGTGGAAAATTCAGCCGGGGCCAGCTGCCAAACGGACGAATGTCAGCGATGTGTGTTGGGTATTGATGTAGAGGAAAAGGCTGACTGCACAGTCGACGTTGAATCCTTCAGTGGGACAAGTTTAAAAGCAACAGTATGATGAGAGAAAAAATAGAAATAATCTATTTCAATGAAAATGAATTATCTACCGTGCCAAGATGCTGTTTCAAACATTCACAACCCCACCTACCATCAACTTGTAGTTGACTTTGAAACTGTAATAGTCTTCAGAAGCCTTGAACATTTCACACTCAACCCCGGGTAATCAAATAGATTTCCACACTACCCTGGCTAATATATGATGCAGAATTGAATAGACATCTATTTTGAATTTTGGTTGCCAGATCATTTAGCTATCGGTAGCAAAGATGGTTCTTCACGCTACTGGTTCTAACACGTTTCCGATGTTCACATTGGATCCGGTGTGCGTAGAGTTGAAAGAACCTTGGAGTTTCGTTCGATCTCAGACCAAACTAAAATAAGTGATCCGGACCCGAGAGCAGCTCATTGTATGCCATCTGTTTGAGGATAAACACTCAAGGCAGCCATTTGACTCTGGCGGACAATGAGTACTTCCCACACCTGTCTAGACGTATGCAGGCGACGTAAACAACAACCCGACTTTATGGGGTATATAAAGGCCATGCTGCTTACGATCAGTATGTTCGAAAACGGCTCATTCTTACCGTGATTGATAGTAACGAGGACTAGATTCCAAATCACATGTTGTTGTCGGAGGTAAGTTGTCAGCAGTTAGGTGAGTATGTCGTGCATTGGCGGGTGAGTTCGAAAGAGGTTTCACTGATAATACTTCCGGATGCTTGTTTATTTTCACACGCCCAGGACAGCAGGCTACATCTGCGACACACCTGCTTGCTTTTACTTTGCTGAGGGATTCATTCACCTTTTCCGTATGTAAACGAGGGGTGTATGTTCCCAGTGGTGCATCGGGTTTTCTTGCGTTTGGTTGCTTCAGTGACAAGTGATGCTCAAACATCTCCACCAGTTGCTTGACACGATTGAGCTGTATGAAAGAAGTGCATAGGAGTAATTTACCATATAGTTTTTGCTCAGGCAACAGGGATGAGGCACAATGTATAAGGCAGTGCTGGAAATATAACTTACGACTAAACGAAAATAGTGTATCGCATTGCTGATAATGAACACTACAGATTATCATGTATATACTGGTGTAATATGTAATGGTTCTTGTTTGTGTACGGCATCCCAGGAGTTTGTTTGTGGTATTTAAGATCTTGTCGAGGCAAACAACAGACAGAATCATGGAAGTCTGCTTTGGACTCTAGAGCAGTTTTGAACCTCATTATGGTCAAACGTGGACCACTGGGAAGCCAATATGGTCTTAAATACCATTCACATTCAACGCTTAAATTTTATTTACGACTAATTGCTGGGTAACATGTGGCTCATTGGTAAATGTTAGACCAAGGGTGCGCTGGGCAATATATAAGTATGACCAATATTGAACCAGTGCGTGAAATATCCAAGACATACGAACCCTGTATTTTGCCGCGCAAGTTAAGATTTAGGTCAAGTTCAACCAAATGTTCCGGAAAATCCGCCCTTTCAGGTTTGGAAACCGAAATTGTATGGCATCCCATGTAAACATCAAAATCCACGGTACTTTTTCCCATTACACTACGTTTTAGCACTTGTGACATATATTGAAGTGTAACAATGTACTTCTAATGCAGTGCGTGCAGTTACAAAAACCAAGGCTGTATTTAAAAATGATATCACATATGTTACCTACCTGCACGGGTTGGGTTCGGGTTGAACTGACCGAAGAAAAGAATCGTTCTCTCATATACGCTGAATCGGCTCTTAGGTTCTGCAGTAGATTCAAGTTCATGCCCTCAGCGGGTAAAGGGTCGTTTGTCACGCGGAAGTGAGTTGGTGTTACGGTGGTAGATAACTCCGCTTTCGTAGGTTCTGGCACAGAAGGGAGAGCTGACATTTGTTTCAGCAATTCCTGTTCCGTCTGTGTTGACACGCTTTTAAGCATCATCAGGGAAGAACAACTGTGATTTCTGTGCAAATTCTCCAAAGTTTCTTCACCAAACTCCGGTGCATCTACAGAACTATTCATTGGTAGAGCACATCTGTCTGTGTAACGCCGAGAGCGTCTGCTTAACCGACTAGAAGAACGGATGAGGTCTGGTTTCCCAGTAACTTCACTGTAATCCACGGCAACGGGAGTAAGGTGAGTTTGATGTGAAGCTGGCTTCACTGGTGTGACGTCGCTGTTCGGTGAGACAAATCAAAAGTTTGAGTGCTAGTTACTAACTCAGCCACAGCTAGAATAATGGAGTGGTAAGCAGTTTTCAGGTGCACCAGAATAGTCCTGCGTAGCAATCGGTTATGGCTAACAGATCATCGTTGATGTACTTCGCATTTTACTGGCAAAGTTGTAACCCCAAGTCGCATCTTCATGTGATCCGGTCCTTAGTTATCATCATACACATATCGGGTCAGATGACGAAGGCTTGGAGCGGTTTGGTTTGCGATTAGAGATAGTTTTCTTTTACCCAAAAATACAATACAATACAATTTATGATTTGTTTTCTCCCTTATGGACCTACCCGTTAACCCTTCCTACAAAAATTGTTTACCATGCATTAGCACGATGAATTGGTTGGCTTGAACAGAACGGGTGTAAATTAGGTGGTCGTGACTGTCCACCCATGAATACTGTGTGAAGTCCTTTCATCCGGCTAGTGCATAGTGAGCGTTGAAACAATGAACATTAGAAAACAGCCTGATTGATGCCTTACCCATATGCCTTATAGAGCAAACCTCCAACGCAGACGTGGAATACTAGTAAGTAGTTCCGCTTATGTCGATAACCCACTCCATCAAAATTTCTTACTTGACTGATATTTCAAAATTACTTTAGTATATGATACTATTCGTGATATGAATGGGCTTGAGGCTTACCGTTTATCCCGCACTTCGACGGTTTTCAAAGGACTATGATGAAGCTCGCTTTGGGGAACTATCGATGTCACCACTGGAGTAGATGGTGAGAGATGCCAAACTTTCCGACATGGCATGGTGTTGGAGCGGCTCAGCTTTCCCAGAGACTGGTGACAAACGGACGGACTTCTCCAGGGCACAAGATTCGGAGGGACCTCAACGCCTTCGGGAACTAATGGAACTGCGGCGAGTTCCAGATAATCTGTACGTGTTAGTTTGGCGCTTTTAGAACGTCTAAAGACCGTTTGTGGAGGTTTAAGAAGACTCATCAATGGAAGTTTGGGCGAGGGTGAAGAGCGCTGACCCTGGACGGGTAATGGTGTCTTGTCAGAACTGCAGGTTGTGAATGAGGGGTCGGTAATCAAATTTTCCGATTTGGGGCTGCCGAACTTTCGACGCCTCAACCACTCATTCACAAATGGATAAAACCGAGTTAGCTTTGTGCTATTCTGCTTCTCCAACGACTTTTTAACAAGAGGTTCGTCCGATTGTTTTCCTGTTTGAAACGAGAAAGTAGTGTGTACGGACATTTACGAAAACTTCATTTCAGAAGTGGTAACTGTACGAATTGTTGAGAAAAAACAAAACATCGTTATTTTATCCATCTCAGTAGGACTGGAAGAAGACGTACTGTTAAGATGTTAGGTGATAAGATATCTTCTACTCGCTTCAGCAGCATAGATTAAAAACTGGTCGGACATTGATGGGCTGTTTTCTGCATGTAACCTGATTAAATGCCAGGGTAACAAAATTGTCCTTTCCGGTTGTTTTTGTGTACATTTGATTTGATCAGCAGCGCCTCACTTATGACTAAAACCCTTGGCCTCGGGTTGTGAAACCACATTCGATTTGCGTTCACCAGATCACTCCGACAGCCTGTATCTAACACAGGTTTGAACATTGACTGTGGTGTTTGACCTCTGACCTGACGGTCGTCCTGACATTACCCGGATTCACATTCACACCGCTACAGTTTGAACAGTTCTCCTACGGTTCTGGCGCGATTATTCAGGTCGAGCAACACCAAAGGGGGAGCACTGTAATTATCCACTTTGGAATAGCTTCTGTCGCTCATTCTAGGTATTTGTTTGTCCTTCCAGTGTGAGCGTCGCCTCAGCTACATGAAAACTCATGTACTGAGCGGAAGGTTAGGCAACATAGACAGAACAGGTCCTTGGGTAGCTAGTATCGGGTGTTGCTCAATTGCAGTATAAAAAACACTAAACTTAAAGTGGAATTAGACCACATGTCGCTTTCATGTGATCGCCTGTAGAACTGAAGGAATTAACAACTTTCTCGCCAGCTAAACGAACCGGGGTAACCGGTGTTCCGACTCCACTTAAGACCTCAATGAAGCGCTCTGAACTATCATCCTTTGTCAGAATTTTCTTCAAAAATCCCTAGTCCCGTCGTGCTCGACAACACTTGAAGCAGGTGACTCTGCTACTCTGGCAATGATCTCAATGGATGTTATTCCATAGGGGCATTTCAGCTTGTTTTGGTATGCTAGAACGATAATAGTACATCGGTGACTGTTTTCCTCGAAATTTGACCGAGGATCTTATCATACTCATGACAATCACATAGTATTTTATTGCTATATACCGTTGTCCGGAACAGTTTTTTGACGGAGCGTTGTTCTTCGTACAATTCCAGGTACCATTTGAGAAAGCAGGATAGGATGCGTGAGAAATGTACATACATGGTGTAAACCAAGCGTTGCACTGTTACCACTATTGGTCTGCTGCGCCGGGTTATCCTATGCAGAACATAGAGACAAAAGATCTTATTGAAGCACTTCCGATTTCGTCGACTGATTTAGGGGTTTTATCCCTAACTAGGGTACATGAATAAAAAAGCCATGACCACTGTGATGTTTCTGTTGAAGCGGTATGTAACTCATCAAGAATGCTTAAACTTTCGTTATTTGCAGAAATTGGACGTGTAGCAGAGATGCACCCAGATTTCAGGTGCAATGCATTTAACTTCTTTGTCACTTGACATGTTCGGTCCAATTAGGGAGATACATTTGGGAAATTTCAGAATGTTTCCCACACACTGGTGTTTCCTCGCAATATGTCAATAACTATCACCTCACAAATGGTTGGTGTACTACAGTAATGAAGCGTTATTTGCAATTAGTCATTTTAAACAGCTCTTGTGAGGAATCTTCCATTCAAGGGAAAAGAACGCCCCAGCTAATCAGGTACCCTGCATAGCCGTTTTTCAACAAAGCGGGTTTGTGTGATGGTACTCATCCTCTGTCCTATCCTTAAATTCTTTCGCCCTCAGTTAATACTCCAGCTGTGAGGTATTCCGAGTGATACCGAATTGTCGGCTAGGGCAAATTAAATTCCGTCTAAAGGATTTCACTTTGCCAGCTGAAGTGTGGCAAAAGCTCTCTGAGGTAGCTGTCAGCTAATAAACCCGATTGAATGCCACACGGTAGCTTCAATATATTACTTTCCTTTTAAGAGAAAATGTTCTATCCACTGAAGGACGAAGCTCTCCTTCTTCTCCAGTTCTGAAGCATCTGTCTGCCTGAGAGTTCAGATAAAGGCTTCCTTGCCCCCAAACTGTCTCCTTCTATCTGGAAGATTTCCCTCATCTAAGAAATCCTGTTTAGTATTAGTCCTAATGCTGAAAAGTGAAATCCTCGTGGAATATTTGTTGGCGGTTGCCAAAGCCCGGCCATACCTTACGACAGTGCACAATATTCCATTTTCGCCTTTTCAGGAATCATATCTTGAACCCTCACTAGTAGGTATCTGCAAGTAATTCTTCAATCTCAAATTAGTTCACTTTTTCTGTGGAGGCAGATCTCCGTAATGCTATCATTTTCACCCGTCACGGAAGCTACTGCGCCCCATGTTTTTCAACCGCAGGCGGTCTATGGATAGTTTATACAATTCTGAACCAAAATTTCATTGGGAAATCCTTGACTTTCGGGTTGTGTTTTACTAGACTCACATAGACGACATAAAACATGAAAAATAGGTTTGCTTAACCTTAGAAAAGCATAGAATCATATAACCTCTTGCTTTTAATGACAAATTTGCATTCACAGTTGTAGTGAAAATTCATCACAACTGAGACTTGTTTAACTAAAAAGTAATTCAATGTATTATAGGAGAATAAGGTACAGAACGAACGATGGTCGCAGATACACTGTAGCTGACAGTACTTTTCCGAATCTTGTGAACGGACAGGATTGAGAGAATAACATCGACTGCGTGGAAAACGAATACAAATTTTACATTCATAAGTAAAACTTTTGAAATAGCGGAAATAACATGGAGTGATCGTATCGCCTGGTGAAATCGTCAGTCGGCTAATAGTAGCCACAAACTAGCCTTTGAATTAGACGATCGTTTTAACCATGATGTTCGGTTAAACAGAACGCTATGTACCCCGAAAAGCGTGGACTAAAGTGTGTCCTTCAAGAGACGGACAGCAAGCTAGTGAACCACCATCTGTCCCATCCCTGAAGTGGATGGCTATGCCTCCCTGTGTCCACAGCTGCTGCTGCAGTCAATCCGGTATCGACTTGTACTTGCCGTACACCACCACAGACCACACAGGGCACCTCAAATTTAATGACCAGATCCTTAATAAGCCTTAGCATATTTTAATAACAATGAGGCTACTCTGAAATTGCACAATGGAAGGCATTTTTAGCGTGTCGATGTTTGGTTGATGAATACCGAACATGATAGAGATACACATTGAGTTCATGTACTACTTCCCTTTATTAGTAGGACCGCGCTTGCCTGATTAAGTTGGTGGCTATGAGACTTTCTCCCTACGAATTTATAAAAACTGACAACAGAAACGTGCTGCAGCAGCAAGAAAGCTCCAGGAGGTTAGTGTGCATATGTGCATCGTCTGGCTGAGGCTGAGCCAGGCAAGAAACTGAATCGGTGCAGGTTCAGGGGAGCAAACGTGTAGAACAGTTTGGACAGTCGGAGTAGACGGGATGTCAAATCAAGGTGAGTGCATGTGACGTCATCGTGACCTGATATAACGTTCTCGAACATTCACGAATGTGTACCACATGGGCTGACATGTAACCGAGGCTACTTTTACCCTACATCGTGCATCGATTACACGCACGTGCCAGCTGTTGTTATCAGAGATACTTTGACCATGAGACCTTCTAAAATCACCGTTAAGTGTGGAAACTCCCGATAACTGATTCAAAGTAGATAACAGTTAACTATGTGACCTCATGTCTACCGTCTTTCTCACGAACAAGAGCCAATTTACAAACCGACGGGATGTTTGGATAGAGTTTGGCCCGCTGATTTGACAGATTGCATTACTGAGCGGCGGAAACGAAATGGAGCTTGTATAATTTGTCTGTTTTTCTCAGTCAGTAAAGGAGGCAAAATGCCTTGGGTAGTTAGCAGTAGTCAATCGTTGTCACTCGATAGTCCCTCACCAATTGCTATAACCGTGGCGAAGTATTTTCCACAAAATGCTGCTACAATGTAGCCCCAGAACGGGCCAGTCAGCACTTCACTTCACTTCAAGGTCAATCGCTTAATAGCCGCATTTGGTTGTATAATTGCGCTTTTTAGGGAGAAAAGATACGTGAGCAGCTTCTCATCTACTCGTGATTCATTGCAATGACAATATCTGACCAACTGACGTGTTTAATCCAAGCAAACTCTGCATACTCTAAGCTCTCATTGGTGGCTAAAAACGTGACATTGTAGTCAGTGAACACCTTATACTCAGACACAAGCAGCCAAATAACTGCTGCTGAAAACAAGTGTCATTTGGAGGTATTCTCGAACTTTTACTGTAGGGGCAAGACAGATCTCTCGCGAGTTTACGGTTGCTTAATGGGTAAGCACATACGGTCGATTTGAGATCCAAAAAATGACACGACTTATTCAAATAGAGGGACAAAGTTGGATGTACTGTTTGATGCAATGCTACTGATGATGTTGATGAAAATTTTCTGCGGGTACACTATTCGTCTTATTCACTTGGACTCATTAGATAAAATAATGCTCCGAATTCTCATAGACTTATGCGAAGAACATAATACAAGGGAATAGTTTGAGTTTAATGGTAATGCAACCTTAAACTGTAACTGAGTGTTTGACTCCTTATAAATACGACCCCGCCTAGAACGGATTGTCTTGCTGTCACTTCCACCCCCACCGAGTCCCGTATTCAGCCACAGCGCGACAATTCTCGGATGGCCTCAATACACCAAATTTAGTTCAATTCGACTTTAAATAAAGGCGACAGAAGTCATCAGATATTCACTTGAGTGTGCTCCTTCTATCGTTCATTCTAACATAACCAGTTGATAAGGCCCATTCAGTAGAATGCATAAGCAAAATCGTATAACAAAGACGGAGTGAAATATGTGGTCGTGATACCCAAAGAACACATTACCTGAAGAACAGTGAGGATTGACGATTGGTTCCTGTGTGGTAATCGTGATTTCTGGTCTAACTGGAGGAAGCCGGTCACTCACTGAAGACCATTCGGGCTCTGATGTTGAGGAACTGGCAAAAGAATGAAGGAATAGTGATAATTCTGAAAATCCCAAAGTTTTACACTTTGTTGTGGGATTTGGAGGAAGCCGGTCGCTCACTGAAGACCATTCGGGCTCTGATGTTGAGGAACTGGCAAAAGAATGAAGGAATAGTGATAATTCTGAAAATCCCAAAGTTTTACACTGTGAATCGCAATGAACAAGTGTCTCTCAATTGAAGAAAGGTCCTAATTTTCGATTATTTCGTAGTTGCCGACCGTCTGTATTAGGTTAAGAGGTCACTAAAAGATTGACCTAATATAATCTGTCACTAGAGCGCTCATCTTGCCACGGTTTCAATAACCAGATAACTTCCACTCATCTGATGTGACAGAGGTGTAAGTTGGTGGGCGGGGAGGTGAGTGACCAACCAAAGGTCATGTCAGGCGCACGTCGGCGCGACTAACGAATAAAGGCATCACAGTAAAAACACCCGCCAAACTGTTGGTTCATGCTCTCATCTCACGAACTGAAACAGTATTCACTAAACAAAGTGATTGACCGAAAACTGATCATAAGGATGTCGGAAAATGCTGAACAGTCGAGGACCCGTTTCACCTTTTTCGGATCTCATTGGGTAGGAGCAGTTCCGAGTTTTCGTCAGTCTTATTTACCAGTTGAACCCGAAATGAATGCAACTTGCGAAGTACGGTCCTGTGTACACTAATTTGGCTTCAACAGAAGACTTAACTGAATCCTCACCGAATAGCCCTTCTATTACATTCTTCAACTGAGTACACTGCACGAAGGCTGTCTCATCGCACGTTTCGAATGGTTAGCGGGATCAGTTCGCAAACGAACTTCACACTGTTGAAACGTTAACCTTGCTGTTTGGTCTAAAACTTTGCTATTACGGAACACGTGATGAGTGATGTTCGTTTCACCGAGAGCAAACAAACTGCACCTAACTAATGGCATATGAACTTTGAAATGTCATCATTTTCCTGCAAGATTACAGGGACTGGATCTGGTAGTATCCTAGCCCAAGTACAACCATAGTACGGCAGTGAAGCCTCAGTATCAAGAATAATGTTGCTGTCTCTGATTATGATGATGATTATGTCTACATGTCCAATAGGGGTTATCTCATGAGAGATTTGCATTCCCACCGCATGATTTTGAGATATAACTTCGGTCATCTTCTGGATAACCTACACTTCTGTCTGCCGCAGGGTGACTGAGGCACTGAGTAAAACAGAATGGCTTCGATAAGAGTTCGTTCGCCTTGTTATCACCTGCCTGTTCGTTCATACTTGAGAATATTGGTGACTCAGCTTGCTGTGTTCACATCCGCCGTCATGGAGAGAGATCCTAATCAATAACACTGAGTTCCCAGTAGCACGAATGACCTGTCCCAGCTGAAGCACGGGACGGCGTTGGTGCAAAATACTAACCTGAATAATATAGATAAAAGATTTGGGTCATAATCGATTGAGTTTCTTTTTAGCCGCAATTCAGCTGGCAAATGATCGTATAAAATCTGTGGCGGTTTGCACAAGCAAACATCTCTGGTTCAGGTCCACGCATCCTTTGTGTCAGCTCGACAGCTAGCAAATTCCCGAATTTCGGGTAATACCGATTCCGATCTCTATGTTTTGTGGAAGAGGGTCTTAGGTAGACAAACTCTTAGTCACCACTTACCGAACCCAAAAATCATTGCAGGTACACTAGTCGTCTGTCGAACAGTCGAAACCAATGCCTTCTGGTTGTGCATGATATCTTACAAATCTGTCATGAGAATCTGGAGTCACCTGAAATTGTTGGAACCAGATCAAAGGTCCGGGAGATATGAGAAGTTTCCACTGGCGCCAGACTCAACTATATAGGTTCCAATGTGATAGTAATGCACTGTGGTTAGCTTACACTGCAGCACGTGCCTCTAGCTGCATCGTTCCCACAGTAAATTCACAGCCTAGCTGAGCGCGAACAGCGTGGGAACCATCGATGGGACCGTGTCGTCTGCGTTTCTCTGCTAGCTTTGATGAGCGGCCCAACCCTCCTGACGTCATACCACCCTTTCCTCACCCTCTCATGAGTCACACGAACGGCAGCCGTCTCACCCATTGTGTCGCTTCTGTCGTTGTTGTCACAGTGTGATGATAATGAACTTCCAGTTATGACGGCATGAATGCCGGTTATTTTTGGGATATTAGGCTGAATAGACATCCAACCAGTATTGTAGTGAGGATTTCCATATGGACCATACACAGGTAAACCAAGCGGTAACGGGCAGTCAGGATTTACTGTTGGAGTTACCATCCAGTAGTATTTTACACATTATGTTATATATATATATATATATATATATATCAAC